TGGCTGTACTCGGTGAGGCTGGTTTCGGCACGCTTCTAATCGTGGTCGTACGTGTGGGCTTCTCATGGTGGTCGCGTGCCCGCTATTCCAGAGCTTGCAGAATCTGCTCCGGCGCATGCTTACGTAGAAAGGAAGGGCCGCGATCCAGGCGCCCTAGCCAGCAACCGCGTGGTTGTCGCCGCGGGGCGAGGACAGCAGTCAACAACAACAAAGCAAGCAAATAATCCGGTGGAGCGTGGCCTCCTATATTCGACATGTGGTGTGGCCCTCCTGACGGAGGGGAAGAGATTCCTTCACGGTAGGTGTTCTCTGTGTTTTTGCTGGGTGTGTTCCGGGTGCGCTCTGGCCTGATTCGAGACGTGCCTGTCCATGGCCATGATGATACCCCAGGGGTCATGAGGCCCAAAAGAAAAGCAAACATGCATCCTCCTCTATCCTCTATCCTCGACCCTCCTCGATCCTACATCCTCGACCGTCTGGGGCGATGATCCTCCGACTCTCCTCTCCGGGGGGAGAAGAAAGAGGAAGGGACAGGGAGGGAAGAACAGGGAGGGACGGACGGAAGAGGGGGACGGGAGGGACAGAGGAGCAGAAGGAGGAAGATGGAATGGGGGGGGAGGAGGAGGAGGAGGAGGAGGAGGAGGGGAGGAGGAGGAGGAGGAGGAGGAGGAGGAGCAGGAGGAGGAGGCGGAGGAGGAGGAGGAGGAGGAGGAGGAGAGGAAGAAGGAGTAGGAGAAGGAGGAGGAGGAGGAGGAGGAGAGAGCGAAACGACGAACGAAGGAACAACCGATCGAACGGCCAACCGACCGACCGATCGATCGACCGACGACGATGACCGCCGACGACCGCGACGACGACGACGACGACGACGACGACGACGACGACGACGACGGGGAGGGATGGGCAGGGAGGGACGGACGGAAGGGAGGGACGGAGGGGAGGGAGGAGCAGAAGGAGGAAGGTATAATGGAGGAGGAGGAGGAGGAGCTCTCACCCATTCAGTTCGATGCCTCACTGATCTCTCATCTCGGAACCTGGGGGGATACAACTTAGATGCAGCCCCTTCATCTTGCGATTCAAGAAGCCACACGTGTTGGCAGATGCAACAGTGAGTTGTCTGCGCGGAGGCCTGGCCATTGAACTCAACGGGCAGGGCACAAACTGGGGGGGAGGGGAAAGCCTTCCGCTTACCTCATACCTCATACACTCAATCCAAACAGCATGAGCGCAGGAGGGCAGAGCGACGGGGTCTAGACGAGATGGATTTCCTCGGAGGCTTTTGGTCAGGGCCAAGCCCGGAGCAGTTCGAAGTGGTGGCCAGGCCCACCCGTACGTATGGCATCCAAGAAACCCAAAACAGCAAGAGGACAGGCAGGCGGAGCAGAGAGGACAGAAAAGCGGGGAAGGCCAGGGGGCAAGGCAGAGAGACAGCAGCTGTTTAGGAAAGCTCACCCTGGACTAAGAGGCGGCAGTTAAATCCCATTCCCATCAGTTGGGAAGTTGGCAGTGTTCATCATTGGGTTTCGCAGGCTTTTTTCCGTGGCTGGCGGTCACGTACGGCGCGCTCGTGGCGCGTCCACCGCAAGAATGAGATTCCGAGAAACTGCATACTGGGCCAACTGCCCCAAACAGGGTCGCGCCTCAGAAGGCCCCAGACGCCACACCATGGGAGGAGGCGGCCCAGCAAAGCTCCGAAGAGGCCCAGGGAGCCCACGAGCAATTCCAAAGGAAAGGAAGAGATAACGCGCAACAAGTCGGAAACCTCAAACATCTACCGACTTAGTACAACACAAGCAGTGCACTCGCCGAACATGCCAAGGTCCTTCCCATCAGACTGCCAACGCACTTGTTGAGCCGGCCGTACCTCACATCATAAGACGCCACATGCACACTACCAGTCCATCAGAAGACTCCACTGCGCACCAAAAGCATTTATTTTCGCATCAACGTACACGCCAGATTGCCACGTGGCGCCCGAGTGGGAGTGAGGCTCGCACCTGTGGCACGTACAAGTTCACCCACGATAGTTTCAATATTCATCATCTTGCCTTTCTGCTGGTGGAACGCCGTTGGAATCTCTAGCGGCGACTAGGTGAAGAGGATGATCTGGCTGCTCCACTGCTTTGATCAGGTCGCTGGCCAGCTCCGCGTCGTCTGGCACCAGCGTTGCTCCTCGCAAGCTGAACGAAAGGCGTGACTTCTTGGGCTTGTTCGGCCGGTCGAAGCACGGGAAGATTGTTGTCTCTCGCACCCGATGGCCCGTGAGATTTGGTCTTCCTATTGCGACCATGTTCCTGACTCTGACGACTACGGGCTTCGTTCGCGATATCTTGTCCGAGGCATCCTTATGCTGCCAGGTGCCTAAGACGGCTAGAACAGCGAGATTGACAGGGAGGCTGGAGAACCAAGATTCTCGCGGGGATCCTGCTTCCTGGTCTTCGCGTACTCCGCATAGAATTTGCTGACGTCCACCAACACTGGATGCTGCCTATCCAATGTTGCTGTGCTCATGGCCTCGTGCACCTATAGTATCATTATGGTTTCTAGTTTTACGAGTAGGTTCTTCATCATCATGATCGCCGACGCGTCGTCCATGTCTGCGTCCGCTTGCGGACGGTCCTTCTTGATGTTATTGGCTTCCTGGCTTGTGGCTGCGAAGCTCTTGCTGCGATTTCGAATCAATCAGGATTTGGGCTTGTCCACTCCATCGCGTCGGTGCTTTCTGGCATTTAGTGTAGATGCCCAGTCAGACTCGAGCATCTTGGCCAACGATGTCTGACTTCCAGGGAGAAGATTCGGGGATTGCTGAAAAGGTTCGTGCTTCTGAAGTTGCCGCGCGTGAAAAGATGGAGACAGGTTGAGTAACACATGGTTTCTTCAACGCTTGAGTCAAAGGATCGACCCACCAAAACTCGATTCACAGATTGGTCAGACCACGCTCTTTGGGGGGTCGTTTCACATGTGTACCGTCCTCTGTTTCACGGACAAGATTGCCTTGTCATACGGTTAGCCACGCGATGCTTAGCGATCTCAGTATTGGGGACAATGTTGTCGCATATTACGCACATGCTTGTAGCAGTAGGAACACAACCGACGTGCAATTGAACGTGACTCCTTCCAATGGTGTTCACGAGATGCTTAGTTCACATATGTTGTGATGGCAAGGTGTAATTGCATATACTTCCGTCCGCTGGCGTTTCCTTGCAAACATCTTTGCCCCATGGTGTGTCCCGTTGGTCCTTGCTGCCAGACGCTGAATTGAGGAATTTGGCTCTAGGCCCATTGCGGTTAATCGTCATATAAAAATGCCCAGTAGCCCTCGAAAGATGCTCCTAAGATTTCCCCATATGTCCCACATCGTAGCACCCGCCTCCGAATCCTTCAAAACCTCCATCTCGTTCTCGAGCTGCAGCGCCCAAGGATGAGCATGAGGCCTGAGCGGTCCCTCCTCCGAGAAGACTCACCCATCGAGAGCGGAAGAGCAGGAGGAGGTAGACAATAATTGAATGTGTTGTTCGCAGTCTTGCACCATAGGTTGGAGCCATGTCGGCCGCCGACCGTGCAGCTCGATGAAATAGGATGTCGGCTGAAATTGTGTTAGCATTTCCTGTTCGCGTTGTGTACTGACATGGACATGCTAATATTCGTCGTCCCAGGTCGCCGTGCCACCAAGGATTGCGCGACATTTGCGCACAACAGAACTTTCTAAATATGCCACGTCTCCGCTTGTCAGAGGAACATGGCGTCTCACACAAACACACACGCACACACACACACAATTCCAAGCCACTGATTGCTGTGTTCACGAGCAGCCCTTTCACCATGGATCTTTTTACCCCGAAGTTCCCAGGGGACCTCCAGAACCTTCATATCGGGAAATACCTAGCTTGAAGTGCTCGCAATCTTTTTGTTTCCCAAGACGGACGTAGTTGTGAACGCGTTGGCTTGTAATCCTCCCAGGTACCGTGCGTGACGCTTTCTGCGACCTGCTATCGACGTGCCATGTTTGTGTATGATGCGTGCTGTTAGATGTGTTCCTCCTCGAAATTACGCCACATTATGCTTCGTGTAGCTCCCACCTCCCCCTTACCCTTGTGAACTGCAGTAGTCTCCTAATTCAAGCTTCTAAATCTCGAAATTTTCCAAGACAAGTCATCAACAAAACCAGTGAGCACCATCTACTGCGTAAGACTGTCTGACCATGGATGTTCAATGTCAACAGCATGAAACCACATCTCAAGTACAAGTAGATCTGTGATGGGAACCTGCACTGGTGGACTGAACGTCCTCGCAAAGATGAGCGTAGCCCCCACATCTCCAGGGAACGCGCCCCCTGCTGGCCTCAGCCAAAAAGTACCGGATTTATCTTCGAGCAAAAAACTCCCATCAGCATCCGACCGCGCGCAATTTGCAAGTCTTGGTTGAAATACAGAGCTGGTAGGATGTCTAGCACCTTTTCGCGCTTGAGACTGAATTTAGCGTTGGTCGCGTCGCGAAATCCCACCAAGTGCAAACCACCAGCAGCTTGCAACCGGTACGAGGACATGAGTTGGGTACCCATGGCATCCTCTCGTGGTCTTTTCTTAAGCCCATCGTGTATCCCTTCCTCAGGTTTCCATGGTTCGAGCTTCCTAATCACGATCACCCTCTCGCCATCGACCTCCAACTTGTCATTCCCCTTGGGTAGACGCGCACCTGTTGTTGCAGGAGGAGGATGGGGGAGTGGGAGAAGAAGAGGGGGGAGGAGGAGAAACGGGAACGACGACCGAAGAAACGATCGATCAAACGACCAACCAACCTACCGATCGATCAACCGACGACGACGACTGACGACGACCGCGACGACGATGACGACGACGACGACGACGACGACGACGACGACGACGACCAAGACGACCAAGACGACCAAGACGGCGAACACGACGGCGGCGGCGGCGACGACGGCCACCCCAGCCTGCCGCCGCTCTGGAGCGGGGCCCTGCAGCGCGCCGCCCAGCAAGGCGGGCAGACGTGGAACCGCGGCGGCTGCGTGCTGAGGCACTGCGCACGCGGGGGCGGCGCAGCTAACGAGGAGCGCCTCCTCCTCCTCCTTTTCCTCCTCCTCCTCCTCCTGCTAATACTCCTCCTCCTCCTGCTCCTCCTCCTTCTCCTCCTCCTACTAATACTCTCCTCCTTCCACTCCCCCGCCTTCTTATGATTCTCCGCCTCCGCCTCCTCCTCCTCCTACTCCTCCTCCTCTTCCTGTGCCTTCTCCTCCTGTTCCTCCCTCCTCCTCCTCCTCATCATCATCATGCTCCTTTCCCTCTTCCTCCTCCTCCTCCTGCTCCTCCGTCTCCTCCTTTCCCTCCTCCTCCTCCTCCTCCTCCTCCTCCTCCTCCTCCTCTCCCATCATCATCATCATCATCATCATCATCATCATCATCATCATCATCCTTTTCCGTCTCCTCCTCCTCCCTCTTCTCCATCTCCTCCTCCTCTCCTCCTCCTCCTTCTCGGCCTCCTCCTTCTCCACGTTCTCGTTATCCGCCTCCCCTCCTCCTCCTCCTCCTCCTCCGCCTCCGCCTCCTCCTCCCTCCTCCCTCTCCTTCTCCTCCTCCTCCTCCTCTCCTCCTTCTCCTCCTCGCGCTTTTCCTCCTCCTCCTCCTCTTTCTCATCCTCCTCGTTCTTCTCCTCCTCCCCCTTCGCCTCCTCCTCCTCCATCTCCTCCTCCTCCTCATCCTCCTCGTCGCCCTCTGCCGCCATCTCCTCTCCGCCCCCCCCCCCTTCGCCTCCTCGTCATCCTCCTCCCCCCCTCCTCCTCATTATCCTCCTCTTTCTCCCCCTCATCGTTTTCCTCTTCCCCCTTCCCATCTTCCTCCTCCTTATCCTCCTCCTCCTCGTCCTCCTCCTCCTCCCCCTCCTCATTCGCATTATCCTCCTCTTTCTTCTCCCCCTCCTCATTATCATCGTCATCAGCATCATCATCATCATCATCATCATCATCATCATCATCATCATCATCATCATCATCATCATCATCATCATCATCATCATCATCCCCCTCCTCCTCCTCCTCCTCCACCTCTTTCTCCTCCTCGTCCTCCGCAAGTCTACAATACGAACTCTAGTATCGTCTCTCCCGTGGTGGCGTCCGGGAAATGGCCAGCCTTCCTCCGGGTATTGACGTTTACACAGGGTTCCGGGGACACGGGTTTTCGCTTTGGTGCTTTTTCGAAATGCTGCTCTCGCTGAAGCGCTGGCCTCATTTTCGGGCTACCGCTCGTTCCGAATCGTGTTCCCGCTGCAGCGCTGGCCTCATTTCCGCGCTTCCGCTCGTTCCGAATCATGCTCCCGCTGCAGCGCTTGCGTCATTATTTCCAGCCCCTTTTCGGTCCTTCCAAATGAGCCCAAAAGTCTAGAAAATACCCCTCGCCCCCCCCCCCCCCCCCCCCCCCCCCCCGAAAAAAACCATCGGAAGTGATTACACATTCGGTGCCGATTCTTTGATTTGTTGGGCCGCAGAAGCCACCCCACACTTTGGGGCGTCGCCACGCCATGCTATGTCTTACTACACGTTAATCTTCAACACAATTCTATGCCATGTAATGCTATGCCATGCTACGACAGTCAATGTGCGCATAGGGAGGAGGCCCATGTTAAGGAGTGGGAGGGAGGGGCAGGACGTCAGGTAAAACGCGAGCGCACCAAGCTTGTCCTTCTCCTTCCCCTCCGTCTCTTCCCTCTCGTCCTCCTCCTCCTCCTGATCATCCTTCTCCTCATCCTCCCCCGCCTCCTCCACCTCCTCCTCCTCCTCCCCCTCCTCCTCATGATCTGCCTCTTCATGATACTCCTCCTCCTCCTCTTTCTCCTCCTCCCCCCTCCTCCTCCTCCGCCTACTCCTCTCCTCCTCTTCCTCTTCCTCCTTCTGCCCCTCCTCCTCCTCATCCTCTAGCTCCTACTCCTCCTTCTCTTCCTCTTCCTTCTCCTCCTCCTCCTCCTCCTTCTCCTCCTCCTCCCCCACTTCTCCGCCTTGTCCCCCTCCTCCTCATCATCCTCCTGTTCTGGCTCCTCCTCCTACTCCTCCTGATCTTTCTCTTCCTCCCCATCGTCCTCCCCCCCCCACTTCCTCCTCTTCCTCATCCTCCTCCTCATCCTCCTCCTGCTCATCCTCATCCTCTTCCTTTTCCTCATCCTCCTGTTCCTCCTCCGCCTCCTTCCCCCTCCTCTCTCTCCTCCTTGTCCTTCTTCCCCTCCTACTCCTCCTCCACCTACGACTACGACGACTAATACGATTACGGCGACGACGACTACTACTACTTCTTCTACGACTACTACCACTACCATTGCTACTACTACTATTACTCTTACTACTCTTACTACTACTACTACTACTACTACTACTACTACTACTACTACTACTACTACTACTACTACTACTACTATTACTACTATTACTACTACTACTACCACTACTACTACTACTACTACTACTACTATTATTATTCTTACTATTACTACTAC